AATCACAATAACGAGACTCTTTAAATTGTAAGGTTAACAACAAAAGAGAGAAACGCATTTGACGGAAGTGGGACAGAAAAACTCTGAGCCAGGCTCAGGGAGGGGCAGCATCTGCTGTGGGAGAGGGAGACGGGACAAAAGTCGCACTGAGATATGCGATGTAAACGAAACAAGTGGGCAGCTCACGTACGTGCAGTGTTTCCTGACATGCACTCTGCAGCCTTTACAAGCAGAAAACGTGAATCTCTCTGCTGTCGCTTACAAATGAAACCTGACCCGCTTCAATGAGGCGTGCACATGTCAACAATAGCCCTGTTAAAGCATCATTACACCACTCTCATTCATTCAGGTGCACTTAGCTTATACCGCCAACTCTCTGCCACACACACACACACACAGACATTAACACACACGCATCCACTCTTGTGGTGTACTGTATATGGAAGCTATTAAGAACTTAAGCAGGGGTCCACCATTATCATCACAGCATGCAACTGGAGCTGAACTGGACCAGAATGCTAGAGCGCGAGATAACAGCCTAGCTGTGACGTAGAAAGCGGGTTGATGGGTTCATGCTCTGTGGACACGATAGTGGAGAGAAGTTTGTATCTTTGCACTAGTACTGTAAATACTGTACGTCACCAAAACTGTGTGAAACTTATGAAACAGTCAGAAAGTTGTGAGGGAGTGAAAGACACAAGGTGATGGCATTAAAGGAGAAATTGTCCAAATTTACGTTAGCGCAATTTCTTTGTGTGCAGCTTGTTTACTGAGAGAAATTAAAATTTTAGCATTGATTTTTAGTGTATTCTGTGTGTTTTTAACTGTTTAAAACGGCATCCAGTAGTTCAGGAGCTTAAGTTAAACTTCAACGTGCTAACAGAAGGTTTGAAGACGGACGACTGGAATGAGAGGAAGGACTGTGAACAGGAGAATGTGAAGTAAAAGATATTTAAAAGTAGAGGAGGTATTAAACAGAACAAAGAAAGCAGAAGGAGAGGAATAGAGGAAGTGAAAGAGGGAGGGATGTTGACCAGATGCCCCCAGGATGATTCAGCTTTGTTCTTCTCTGGTTCCTATCAGCCATGAGCATCACAGACACAAAACATGCTCCTTTCCTGACTTCGTTGCTGCCTCGTCTGCTCTGTCTCGCGCTCTCTCTTGAGTAAAACAAAAACCTCTGAAATCCTTTCAGATGTGATATTTCAGGCTATGATTGGTTTAAATCTAACTCCTGGTTTGGTTTGAATAACCAAATATTTTTAGTATATTGCCTTAACCATCAAGGCAACATCATAACTTTCCCTCAATCCTGAAATTTCCAAAGATTTCTTCCCGTTTTAATCTGTAACACATGTATTATGTCTCATTCTGCCTGTAGGTGGCGCTAGTTTTCCCTAACAATGACCCCGCCTCCTTCATGACAGCCTTCTATGGCTGCCTCCTGGCTGAGGTGGTTCCTGTGCCAATAGAAGTACCGCTGACCAGGAAGGTAAGAGGAAAACCGCACTCGATGTCTAATTAAAATTTAAGGAATAGTGAAAAATATGTGGACGTTAAATATTACTATATGGTGAAAAGTATTTTGTAATATTAAAAAAAAGGCAAAACACCAGCCAGCAAACTGCAGTTCAATACAAGTAGAAGAAACCTTAATACTAATTTACATAAAACTGGATATAAACTGTTTATTAAAAACAAATGGAAGCAGTATCCTTAATAAAACAGTAACTTTTATTGTTTTTCGCACCCATGCTTGTTTTATTTAATAGTGCAGTCCTCATTTTTTCTTCGGTTCTGAAGACTGTAAAGCTGTTTAAGGGTCAGATCATTGATGTAGTCGTTTTTTTGGCTGTTGCAGTATTTTCTGTTCAGACGGTGATTGTTGAAAAGGTGCGATGTGATTTCCAGTGTTTGTGTGGCCGATCGCAGTGTTAACAGGCCACCATGACTACAGGCTTCCTCGATGATTAATGGCGTCACGTTTGGGGATCTAGTTCAGAATTCAGGGAGCGTTCGTGGACCTTTGAGTGTCACGTCTCCTCAACAGCATCTAACAAAAAGGAGGTTGTAAACTAATCATAGGGTTGAAGGTTGGATAACCACCCCCTCCACATGTTTTGCTCAAGTTCAAGTTGATCCTGACAGGTTTTGGATTTCTTCATTGCTTCATATCTGGTGTGAGAGTCCAGGTTACTGCATGCATTGATTTCAAACAGCAAACGTGATTGACTTGTTCTAATAAAATCTTCTTAGCTTTAGCAGTTCATCAAGTAGGAAATGTGACACACACCATTTGTTTTTTGCTGTACTTTCACTGCATCGGTGGTACTGGTGCACTGTCTTCAGGCACAGGATATTTGCATATAAAGGCCACAACAAAGCTCAATGTCTTGGCTGCTGCTCAACAAGAAAAGGATCCATGCCCGAGCTGAACTGCAGGTAACTAGATTACCAGTCTGCAGTGCTCAGTTATCAGGTACCTTGCAGTTTGTTTCGAATCTCTTAGATTACTAAATACCCACGACAACAAGAATAATTCACACAGCAGACATGCTCTGTTTTATATCATGAGGGGATTGGTCATTATGCAAATAAAGGTTGACAATGAGGAGTTTTTGTTGTTGGAAAAACAATTTGATAACATTTGTATTTAAATGTCGTCTTATTTTCTGAAGTGAAGCTGCATGAGCAGGTTGAACAGAGGACGTGCAGCAGAGTCATACAGTGCAGAGCTAATTCACACCAGTCAGTGGAGCTAATGCAACACTGGGGGGGATAAAACATGAGTCATTGGAAGGCACTTTGTGATTCAACACAGAGGACGCTGAGCTTTGAGCTGAGGTGTAATGAGAACCAAATGTCTCTGAAGAAGCGACTGTGCTGCTGCTGCTGTCGTACATTTGTTTGAGTCATCGTTTGGACTGAGCGTAGCTCCGCATTGTAATATCCTCTGGGAGGAACCAGGAGGGCTGGTGTGAGTCTCGTAGTCAGTGTGGATTTCTGATGATCAGCCTAGTGATCACTTCACTACACCTTCCTGTCAGGCTGATTGTTTACAGAGAAGCAGGTAAATTATGACGTGCACGATTCAAAGCATCGAATCTGCACTGAGCAACGAGGAAACAGCAGCAGGAACCGACAGAAACGCCATGTTTCCATCATGTTTTCCCACATGGTTTTCCATCTTCTCACGTTGACTGTTGCTGTTTTATTTCATTAACAATGTTTCTATTGCACCCAGCGAGAGCTGTTTATCTCACTGTGGCAACACCTACACTTACTCATTAGCATTTTAAAGTTTGCTATTCAGTGCTTAACCAGGAAGAGAGGACTCCCGA